TCCTGCAGAGAAGAGTTCTGCCATGAAGTATGGCATCTACATCCTGAGAGCAGTTCAGATTATGCCCACATAAAAGCCACCCACACCTCCCATTCTGGCTACAATAAGCCAGCAGGGCATAGGAAGTGGCAATAGCTCCACCATGGATTCTGTTATCCATCACCATCATAGCTTGGACAAGCTATATGTGGTTCACACCAATTTTTTAAGAGCGTCCATAATATCATATTTTAAATATAAAAATATTTGCCCAAATCCACAATCTATTTCTAAGCAAAGCATTCCAACAACTGGCTTAGTGAAAGTTGAACCAATTGTAGTTTGCATTTATGGTTTATTATAGTCTTATGAGGACTTAAATGTTATCACCCCTTCTTAGCTAGAGGCATTACATGCACATCCCCATGTGGCTTCTTTTTACAAACTCAAGCTGGGACTGTGTGCATGGCACTTTTCCAGAAAGGTTAACATCCTTTTGATCAGTCATTCAGCTGATGGGCTAGATAAGAAGAGCCAATGTAACTATCTTATAAAAGAAAATTAAATGAATTATTAGGGATCATGCTTATGAAATATCTGGCACTGTACCAAAGAACGTTAGTAATCTAAAAGGTGCCTGCCATTTGAAAAATTTAAAAAGCAAGAGTCCTGTATGCCCATAAACACTACGCCTTGCATTCAATTAAAACCTAGAATTTGTGGACATGTTTCATACTTTATATACTCCTACCATAGAGATGCAAGTGGCTCTTGATTTTTTTGATCACACTGCTTGATATTTCTGTGTTAATATTTTGCTTAACATTGCAATGGATATTTATTGCACTTTGCTATTACACATTTTTGGTTGTTATTTTATTAGTGTAATGTTTGGTTGTTATTTTATTAGTGTAATGTTATCGCAAGCAGTATATAACTTATACAAACAAACCAACAAGCTAAAGTCCTGTTACTCACCTATCCTTTCCAAACCTCTTGGTTTAGGAGGGACAGAAGCAAGACTAGCCTTCACAATGATGCAACACAGACACACACACACACGCACACACTTTTAAGTCATGAGGGACTCTGAACCCTCAACCCTCTTCAGTTAGCTTGAATTGCTCCCATGTATCAGTACATCCCACCTCAGGTAGGATTCCAAAGGAATCAATACTGTTCAAGTAGCCTAACAGTACTATTTGAGGGGAACTGCCTACTATCTCAAACACTGAAAGCCAACAAGGTACCTGCCAAATGTTGCTGGACTCCATTTTCCATCCTCCCTAACTATTGGTGAAGCTGGTGAAGCTCATGGGAGTTGTAGTCCAACAACATCTGGAGGGCACCAGGTTGACGTTCATGCATGTCATTCTCCTCTGTGTCCTAGCTATACATAGCATAGATATGTGAAAAAAATCCCTCCCTCCACAAACACATACGCAACACCACTCATGAGGTCTATTTCTATAACCCATTTGGATATATTGTACACTGTGAGTTAACCAAGAATTTAATTGCAAGCCAAAAGTTCATGGGCATTTTGTCAACTTTACATTCTGTCAAATATATTGCACATACAGAGGGGAAGGGGTGGAGAAGGGGAATGCAAGCTGTGTATTTCTGTGGCAAGGGGGGGAGGGGAAGTGAATATAAATAAGAAGAACTTTTAAAATGTCAGTCAAGATTGGCCTGAATTCCAGAGATACAGAGCACCTGCAGATTCCACCAGCTTTGGCGGGTGTTTACATTTTTTGCAAGTCAGGCCACTTGGGCATAATATTAGCAGGTTATTTTCTCTCGCTTGGCAGCCGTGGCAGCTTCATCCTCTCTTATTATTCAAACCTCGGGAATTGTTTGCTTCCTTTGGTAATGAGACACTGTCCCCAATTCATAAGTGCATGATATATTCTTATTTCAGGAATGTGACAGAACATGAGAGATGCTGTCACTCTGTGCAATCTTCCCCAACCTTCCTGACCTACTGCAAAGAGGCAAAACAAAGGAAAGAAATGGATTGTTTTATGATTTGTTAGCAAGGGTGAAAAGAGCTAGTACCGCAATCTGCAGATTTTATTTTATTTTAACCATAGATACTCACTGACAAGTGAGTATATTTGCAATATACTAAGGCTGCAGCTATAAAAGCAATTATTCCAGAGTCAGATTGCTCCAGAATATGTGATCTGAGGTTTTCCCAGAGCAATTATTCCAGAGTCAGATGGCTTCAGAATATGTGATTTGAGGTTTGTTTGTTTTTTGTCAAAATGTGGCATTGGCTCACAGTTCAGTGACCTCTTTGAGAGCCAGTGTGGTGTAGTGGTTAAGAGCGGTAGTCACATAATCTGGGTAACCGGGTTCGCGTCTCCGCTCCTCCACATGCAGCTGCTGGGTGACCTTGGGCCAGTCACACTTCTTTGAAGTCTCTCAGCCCCACTCACCTCACAGAGTGTCTGTTGTGGGGGAGGAAGGGAAAGGAGATTGTTAGCCGCTTTGAGACTCCTGAAGGGGAGTGAAAGGCGGGATATCAAATCCAAACTCTTCTTCTTCTTCTTCTTTAAGTGGAATGCAAAAATCCTCCATGTTGAAATTCATGGATCTTGTGTAGGCCTAATGCTGTGAAAGTCAGTCTATTTCAGTTTCTCATTTTTCCAGTCTTTAAGTTCAGTTCTCCACATTTCCAAATTAGTTTGTTATTTTTTATAAAGTCCTCATGAAACTCCATCAGAATTGTAGTGCAAATTTCTCCTCATATGCACATTTTAGTATAATTTTTGCCATGTATATAGATGGAGAAAGAGAGTGCATCATAATGCATCTTTGTATGTCATTTTTATCGATAGGCATTTATAAGTACCCCAATATATGCATTTTTGTACACATTGCAAGGCTGGAAAACTATGGAAAACTATATATTGCAAAATTCAGAAAAGTGTGAATTTTGAAGGATGAATGCATTTTGGTTTACACATTATTTCCGAAAGTGTGAATTATATAATTTTGCATTTAGATGCAAACTGAATCAAATCTCTCCCCCATCCCTAGTTTTGAAATACACATTGCATGTATCTTTATTGCCTACCACATTGTTACATATCCAAAATGGTATGCACATTCCCCTACTTCCAAAGAATCCCAGGAACTGTAGTTTATTCCTCACAGAATGACAATCCCTAGCAGCCTTAACAAACTACAGGTCCCAGGAGTCTTGGGGGGTGGGGGCAAGTGGTCTTTTAAATGTTTGGTGAGTATGCAGCCCAGATTGATAGCAAACCTTACGAAACAGTTGCTTAATCCTTTCCTTCCCAGCCATTTGCTTGCTCAAAATCACTCCCATTGCCCGTGTGTGTGTGTGTGTGTACACCCAACATAGGGAGATAAGCTATACATTTCTTCTTAAATGAAGAATGTTGTGACTGAGTATGGGAAATCCTAGTTCAAATCCCCAAACCTGTAGTGCTCCTCCAGGTTGGAGAGTGATATTCCGCTCTCCTGTGAAGCTCACTAGCTTTTCTTCCTGCCTGCTGTAAACATGAAGGGCAGGATGCATGTAAGACAAATGAATTCTTCACACAGGATTCAGCAGAGTTGTGAAGCCTCTTCTGCTAAGAAGTACCCTTGTAGAAGCATGTTGTAGAGCAGGAAGGGAGAACCTTCGAGCCTTCAGGTGTTATTGGACTCCAACTCCCATCAGCCCCAGCTACCATGGCCAATGGTCAGAGGTGAAGGGAGTGGTAGTCTAATGACAGCTGGAGGGCCCCAGGTACCCCACCCCTGCTCTAAGTGCTATTTACATGCATGGATCTGTAGAAAAAGTAATCATTGTGAGGAAGGGGTGATAAACAAAGCTACAAAAGAGTTAAATGACTTACCATGAACATTATGGCAAAGACAGTTTGAGGGACAGACTAGACTGATAGGGTTGTGTCTGTACTCATGCCTCTTATTCCACAAGCAGAGAAAACAGATCCCTATCCACAATCTAAATTATGACAATTAGTAGAAACGGAAGTATAAATAAGAAACTGATAATATGTATGAAATGGTGGCATAAGATTTGATGGCAGATGCCTGAATGAAGTCTGATGAAAATTTTTGCATGTCGGCTGTTGAGAATTTCTTGCAAAGAGAATATACTATGTCGGGACTCTGCATAATCCTAGTTTTGCCCCACTCACAAGGATATTGGGCTTGGCAAGGACAGTTCTGTGGCGAATTTCTGCAAGGGGAAAACAGGGTGTCCTGAAATGACTGGATTTCTGCAAGAGGAAAATAGAAATGAGTTTATTCTGTCCAAGGGGGCTAGCAGGAACAGAGAGCCATTCCTATGACGGGACAAGCAATGATCTAAAAATAAGCCAGCTAGTCAATCTGCTATGTCTCCCAGTTCCCAGCTTTGTAAACATGTGCCCTATTACGCTGTTTATGTGGCCTTCCAGGTTTTCAACTAGGACAGCTGCAAATGGGAATGGCACCTTCTTCGGCACCCTGGGATATTTATTTATCTCACTCATCTTTGGGATTCAGTGTCATGGTTTTGTTATTTACACACAGCACCTTCTGAGATGGTAAATAAGATTTTGTTCCCCTCCTGTGTAAACAGTATACAGCCTGCAGATCTTCGCAGATAAACAGCTGCATAGACGCTAATGGATATGTTTTGCAGAGTTGTAGGGTCATAAATCTAGGGCTCCTTGGCCCAGCCCTCTCTCCCACCCCGCAAAATAAAGGTCAAAATGTGCCCTGTAGGCTCAAAGAACAGCTTGTAAACTTCATTGCAACATGGCAGATAGATCGCTAAATAGCGCACGAAAGAGCAAAGTAAATTATTTCTGGGAAATGTACTAATGGTCAGACTGGAAGCTCCTGTCCTTTGGAAGAGGGAAAAACGCAGAGGAGGATTCCACAGGGACAGAATTCAGTGTAGAGCATAAGGAATGATGTGGAGTGATGGAAAGTTTGTCGTCTTCTTTTTTTCATCGGGAGTTATTTTAAATGAGATTATAAATAGAAGCTCTTACCTTACAATAGCTTTGACAAATCCTCACTTCTCCAGGAGTTCAGCTGCACTGTGCACATTCTCACGCTCTTCCTTTAAATGACCGTACTTGGGTAGTGCAAGTGGGCATCAAATTTCAAAGATAAGGGACAATTATGGAACAATAGGGCTCTGCTCTGAAGAGGACAAGGCAGCTAAAGTATTCTGAAATGCAGGATGTCCACTGAAACAACAAAGCAAAACAGAATGCCTGGCTAGGCACTTCTCCAACATGATCTGAAACCTTTGGCTTGGCTCAGCTTTTTATGGGTGAAAGGCCTTTTTTTTTTTTTTTAAAGAGACAGCTTCTGTTTTGAAATTTACATGTTGTGTGCAAAGCCTTATTTGTTCCTAAACAGACATTTCAGAAACATGACAAGAAGGCTTCATTGTAAGGCTCTGGAAAAGAGGTGGGAACCCGTGGCCCTCCAGTGTTGCTGAACTACAATTCCCATCAGCCCCAGCAAGCATGGCCAATGGCTGAGGGTGATGGGAATTGTAGTTCAGCAACTTCTAAAGGCCCACAGGTTTCCCACACCTGTTCTAGAATAATATTTATCAAGTTTTGAGTGGTGGCATTGCCAGCACTATTTTGTCCCCATCAGGCAACTTATGGTGTTGGGGGGAGGGGGAAAACTTACCAGCATTCCTGCAGTCTCCCTTCTTCTGATAGACACCATTTTTGTTTTCTCAGAATGGTTCCATATTTATCTGCATATAGACTAGGGCTAGAGAACATATGTCCAGATTTCAGTTATCTGGAATGATGCAAGCTGGAGTCCCAAAACATCTGGAGGGTCACAGATACCCAAATCCTGGTGTAGATTGATAGAAATTAGATTAATATCTGAACCAATCCTTAGATCAGCATTGCCCAACTTGATATCCTATGGATGCTCTAGATTATAGCTCCCATTATCCCCGATCATTATCAGTGCTGACCAGAGCAGATGGGCATTAAAGTTCAAAACAACTGCAGGGTTGGAGAAGGATGCCTTAAAGTAAGTGAGATGATAACTGTATTATTTGGCTACATATTTCAGGCAGAACCTGTAAGGAAGATGTGAAAATTTTTAATAAAACATCAGTTTGATTCATGATATTGCAATAGGGTTCTTTGGTTATATTACTCCAAGTGCCTTGGTTTCTTCTTCTTCTTCTTCTTCTTCTTCTTCTTCTTCTTCTTCTTCTTCTTCTTCTTCTTCTTCTCCTCCTCCTCCTCCTCCTCCTCCTCCTCCTCCTCCTCCTCCTCCTCCTGACCCTTCTACTAGGCTTTTAAAATGGCAGGCTGTCCTGTGCAAGAGAAGTATCTATTGAGCCTAAAAAACAATGTCCTCTGTTATCATTATGGCTGTTTGGAAAATCTCATGGTGAAGAATTACCCTGTGTAACCAGAACCCTGTCCCTCCCACACTGTCAGCTCAGCATTTGTTCCTATTTGAGGGAAAGAGGGAGGGAGGGTTCTTTGCTGGCTGAATGCACTGAGAGAGATGATACTACTTAGCACTGAGGTGTTAAAAGTCGCTTTGTGGATGGGAGATGAATTGGACTGAATCATGGTCACAGCACAGCAGGAGAGAGTAAGAAGAAAGTCATTGAATTGCATCCCCCCCACTCCTCCAAGCAGGGTCTCTTTAAACCAAAGCAGCAAAAAAGGGGCAAAGGCCAGCACTGTATTCTGCATTGGTTTCTGTTAGTTTAACTAATTATTTATTTGAATTCCATTTTCTTTCAAGCACACATTATGATCGGGCAAAAGCAAGCATGTTATGCAGCTAACAAACCTTCCTCCCAGCCCTTAATAACACAAATTCCTGAAGCTGGTTTTCAGTGCTCCCAATACAATGCTTGATCAGGAAGAACAATTAGGGGTTATCTGTGAAGGACATCAAGGGCAAGAAGAGAAACAAAAGAGAGCAAAGCCATTACGGGGTTTTTTATGGTCTCCACCTGTTCCATGCCATCTTCCACAACTAACTTGCTGTCGTGGTTATTTTATCTGCCTCTCACACTGCTAGGTTCCCTGACTATCAGACATCATACATTCCACAGGAGGCCTAGGCAACCACAGCAAATTAGCTATCCAGATGACTACTTAGGCCCTACAGTTTGATTTATCAAAGTCACCTCAGGCTAGTTTCATAATCACAACTATGTGAAAATAAGGTATTCATGCTTAATTCAGCTAATATGACAATAACACACCATAGCATGACAGACCCTCCAAGTTTCCCTTTTTTCCAGGGACAGCTCCGGATTTACAGAAACCATCCCAGTTTCTGATTTGATCCTAGAATGCCCCACTTTTCCTTAACACGTCCCTATTTTCATCGGAGAAATGTTGGAAGGTATGGAGTTATCTAACCACCGAGCCATCTGAAGGCAGCCCTGTCTATGGAAGCTTTTTAATGTTTAATGTTTTATTATGTTGTTATATGTTTGAATCTGCCCCGAGTAGCTGGGGCAATATTATTTATTTATTTTATTATTATATTATTATTATTATTATTATTATTATTATTATATAAAGGTAAAGGGACCCCTGCCTGTTAGGTCCAGTCACGGACGACTCTGGGGTCGGAGTGCTCATCTCGCTTTACTGGCCGAGGGACCTGGCGTACAGCTTCCAGGTCATGTGACCAGCATGACTAAGCCGCTTCTGGCAAACCAGAGCAGCGCACGGAAATGCCGTTTACCTTCCCACCGGAGTGGTACCTATTTATCTACTTGCACTGCGTGCTTTCAAATTGCTAGGTGGGCAGGAGCAGGGACCGAGCAACGGGAGCTCACCCCATTGCGGAGATTCAAACCGCCAACCTTCTGATCGGCAAGCCCTAGGCTCTGTGGTTTAACCCACAGCACCACCCACATCCCTTTTATTATTACAGTGGTACCTCGGGTTACATACGCTTCAGGTTACATACGCTTCAGGTTACACACTCCGCTAACCCACAAATAGTGCTTCAGGTTAAGAACTTTGCTTCAGGATAAGAACAGAAATTGTGCTCCGGCGGTGCGGCAGCAGCGGGAGGTCCCATTATCTAAAGTGGTGCTTCAGGTTAAGAAAAGTTTCATGTTAAGTACAGACCTCTGGAACGAATTAAGTACTTAACCCGAGGTACCACTGTATTAAATAGGATGTCCCTATTTTCATTGGAGAAATGTTGCGGGGTATGGCATGATGAAGACATACATTCCAACCTGGTCATCTGAATGTATGCAATGAGGCTACTTAATGGCAAAGTGTCACACATCAGAAACAGAACTAAGAGACAAGTTATAGAAGGGCAGATAAACATTAGGTAAGAACTATTGATGGTAAGAGCAGTTGGACAATGGAACCAGTTATTTATATAGGCTGTGGACTTTTTCTCACTAGGAGTCTTCAGGCCAGAGACCATCTGTTGATGCTCCAGCTCCTTCACTCAGGCATGAGGTTGAACTAAGTGGCTTTCAGGGTCTTCCTCATCTCTTACGATTTTCTCAATCATGACCAAATCACCAATGTAGGAGACATAAAAACAGTTGAGAAATATTCCTGTCACTTGGCTGTCAGTTTCAATACCTTTTAGCTCTCATTTGCATATTAACCTGGTTCAACGGTCTAGGATCGCGAATTGCAGCCTAGAGCCATTTTACATTTTGATTTGAATGAGAGTCGAATATGCCCCATACTGATCAGTCAACTAATGTTAATTTAGGTGTGAAAGTTAAGCTCCCATCAGGCTTTGACATGTTTCAGCCGCAGTTTACTGTACTGACGAAAACAATTGGCGAGACTGATTCTCTAAACCACAGGGTCACATTCTGATAAACTAGGAGCTAGGTGGATGTATCAGCCACCTCCTTATGAAGATGTCACATTAGAGCAAAGAATGGGGGCATTTTGGTGGTGCCAGGGGGGAAGTGACATACAAATCAGAGATGGATCCAAACTGTTTTTGGTGTCTGCCTCTATCAGCACACTCATGTCACACAGCAGGTGCTGCCACAGAGGAGACCGCTTGTTCCTTTTTCAGCCATAATACTGCTGATAGCAGTCTGTTGAGAAGTCTCAAGCTGCTATGAACAGGCTCAGGACAGATATGTCAAAGCTCTTATTCATGGGCCAGAGACCCATCAGAACCCTTTTGACATCTTTTTGTGCAACCTCAAAAGTAGCAGGCAGTGGAGTACATGCAAAGGCACTGCCCCATGGGATTCCTCGGCCTTCCCTGGGGTGGGCCGGCCCTAATGATTAGCTTTCTAGCAATGCTCTGAACTGATACCTAGCTTTTGTAGAGAAATTATACATGCAGGATCTGTTTGCTTGCATGATTCTGCATCCAAGCAGACATCTACATAAACAAGCCTGCCTCTGCTAGCACTAGGGCAAGGATCCTTGAAATTTATTGTCTACGCCATGTTGGGGTGGGCAGGGTCAGTGCAAGCCACTAAGTGGGGAAATTCACTGTTTTTGGAGGGAGGTAAGCACCAATTTTGGAGACACTTCAATCTAGCAGTGCTGGTGGGATTCTTCATGATACTGACATTTAAAGCCCTAAATGACTTGGCCCCAAATATCTGAAGGCATGCCACATCATCCCATGTTAAGATCTTCAGGGGGAGCCCTGTTGGTAGCATCACTTCCCTCTTTGGTTAGAGGGGTAGCAGTGCATGAGATCGCCTTTTCTGTTGTGGCACCCAGGTTGCAGGAATCTTGGTCTGCTTTCAAGACGCAGCTCTTTCCCCAGGGGTTTGGTTGAGTGACTGCTCTCCCTCCTCCCACATTGCTGTGCATTGCTGCACTTCGTTGCGACTGTCATGTCAACATTATCATTGGTCAATCTTATGGTTTTGTTTTAAGGTTAATGTAAATTGCCCGTGCTTTCATTGCGACGTTTTTGTAACTGCTCTGGGATCATTTGGTTGAAGCAAGGGCTATAAGCAGAAATAATTATCTCCCGCTTGGACTACTGCAATGCACTCTACGTGGGGCTACCTTTGAAGGTGACCCGGAAACTACAACTAATCCAGAATGCGGCAGCTAGACTGGTGACTGGGAGCGGCCGCCGAGACCATATAACACCGGTCTTGAAAGACCTACATTGGCTCCCAGTAAGTTTCCGAGCACAATTCAAAGTGTTGGTGCTGACCTTTAAAGCCCTAAACGGCCTTGGTCCAGTATATCTGAAGGAGCGTCTCCACCCCCAT